TCCCTGGCCCTCCCCTGTGCTCTGAGAACATCACCTGGCCAGGCAGCCCCTCATTCCTTCCCTCCAATTCTCTGGACATGTTGCCATGGTCTGGAAATTTCCCAATCCCTGTGAGGCCTGTGGGCACTGCCTAGCCTTCTAGGGCCTCCTTGCTCCTTATGGGAACATCTAGGAAATAAAAACATACAACTTAAATTCCTACGCTTTTTGGATGTCGCTCTTAATGCTTCCTCTGCAGAATCAAAGGAAGACCTAACATTACACACAGTTCCGTAGTAGCGGCAGCACGTGCCCCTCCAGACACATGGACTTGCTACGGCACGAGAATCGAAGCATGGCATTCAAGTCCTGGAAAATGACAAGCCCCACAGTCACCATTTCCCCCGAAGTCATATCTCAAGGCTGCACAGTCCAATTCCACAGTCACTGGCAGTCATTTCAAAACCCCTGCCATCCTGGTTGCTGTGGAGACAGCTGGAACCTCGGTCCTGGCATACCGTGCATGGGAGGGGCCCACTGCTCAGATTGCCCCCTCCCAGCCTGTCCCTACCCGGCGCCCTCCGGGGTGCTGCCACCTCCTGCTTTGTGCCAGCTGCTCCTAGGAGGGCCCACCAGGCTTGCTAGCACAGCAACCCCTTTGGAGTAAGATGCGTAGTCAAAAGAATGGACTTAAAAAAAAAAGTCACCCTCAGGCATTTATTTCTGTTCTCCACCATCACTGTCCCTCTATAAACCTGTGGTCACTGCGGAAGAATTGAGAACAGTCACAGCGAGGGTACATTTCCTGGGGCTGCTGCGCCGCTGCGACTGGGGGCACCAGGGGGCGCCAGGGGCCGGATTCCTGACCCGCCCGCTGCCGCTGCAGGCGCTCCTCGGAGGGAGGCTGTGAGATGGGGTGTGGGGAGGGCTGGGAAGTGCCGCTGTCCCCTAGCGCCCCTCTCTAGCTCGGAGGCTATTGAAGGTGCGCTGCGCCCAGGGCCCCAAGGGGGTGAGTGGGAGGGGACCGGGTAACCTGTGCGGCCGCCGAGGCAGAGGAGGTGCCCCGGTGGGGGCTGGACGGCATGCACAAGGTGCAGCGCGGAGGTTGGGGCGTTCGCCACCTCTGGGGCAGGGATAACGGGACAAAGTGGAACATGGTGGATCATATTCCAAAACCGTGTTGATTTGGTACGGTGTCCTTTCTATTCATTACCGTTCTATGGACAGTGTGCATTGGATTAGAATGTCCATGAGCTTTACAAAACGCAGGCAGTTGTATTATTATTATTTTTAGTATTTTCTACACCACAGGAAAAGTCTTGAAGCATCGTGTGTAGAATCCATTTTTACAAAATACAGCCATCACATAATGGTGGCCCAGGAGGTCCCCATCTGACTGCAATCTCTGCAGTGAAGGGTTAAATGTAGAATGATTCCAAGTGACATCCTCAACTATTTGTTTGATTGTATTTGGAATTTAGCCTGCGACTGGTAGGTGTGCGGTCAAGCTGTCAGACAACAGTGAAGAAGGAAAGACAGTGTGCCCCCTGCTGGGGGTGGCACTGAGCAAGCAGTACAGTGTCCCCAAGGTCTCTGTGCAGTTTTAAGCCACGTGGAACTGAAAACTGCACTATAACTTTTGGGACGCCTTGAATATTAAGAGGAGAAAGAGCAGAAACCTCGAGGTCAAAGGGAGTGATGTTCAAATTCTCTCTAAGTCACTCTTTTTCATGGCTGAGAGGCCCAAGCTCTATGCCTGACTGTCACTCAGTAGCTGTGGGTTTCTACAAAGCTATTGGCCACCCCCCACCCCCCGCGGCAGTTTCCTCGTGCTAAAAGTGGCTTTCATTTCTTAGATGAGGCTAGCTTGGCTCAGAGATGTGGGAAGTACTTTTCTCTGAAGCATCGAAACCCTGCTGCCAAGCCTGAAGTTGCTCGCTCCTGGGGATCTGGAAGTGAACAAGACCACTGACTGGCTCACCATTAAGGAGGAAAACAATCAAAAGCTCAGATTCTTGAGGTTCAGGGACCTCGAGTTGCTGCCTTGTTTATACACGTCAGTGAGCTTGCCCACAGTCTTCAGGACCCCTGTCTGTTATTATCAAGAAATAAGACTTCTGTGCAATAATAATAAGAGCTATCATACACTGAGCTCGTACCATTGGTCAGGCACTGTACTAGCTTCTTTACATCATACAGAGCTGGGCAAAAGTAGGTTTGCAGTTGTGGGTACATGAAACAGAGTTTATACTTGTATTATTTATTAATTATTGTTTTATTTTCCACACGGACAACAGTAAACCTACCCATCCCCATATGATCTCAGACGTACACCTTATTAAGTAGGTATCATTGCCCCATTTTATAGATGGGGAAGCAGAGGCTCAGATGTTTTAGAAGTCACCTGAGGTTGCACGTGTCAGAGTGGCAGAGCCAGAATTAAAACCTATACCTTCTTATACCCCACAGAAGGACAACAGTGTAGCTGACAAAATAAATCCTTAAAGCCCTGGCCGGGTCACTCAGCTGGTTAGAGTGTCGTCCTGATACGCCAAGGTTGCGGGTTCGATCCCTGGTCAGGGCAGATGAAAGAATCAAGCAATGGCCCTGGCCAATTTTGCTCAGTGGTTAGAGCGTCTGCCCGCAGACCAGAGAGTCCCGGGTTTAGTTCCTGCTAAAGGCACATACCTCGGTTACGGTTTGTCTCTGGCCCCTGGCCCTGGTTGGGGTCGTGTGAGTAGCAGCCAGTCGATGTGTCTCTCTCACATCGATGTTTCTCTCTCTCTCTTCTTCCCTCTCTTCCTCCCACTGTATCTGAAGATGAATGCAAGAATGTCCTCGAGTGACGATTAAAAAAAAAAAGGAATCAAGCAATAAATACATAAATAAGTGGAACAACAAATCGATGCTTCTCTCTCTTCCTTTCTCTCTCTCTCAAATCGATTAAAAGAAAAGATTCCTTAAAAAAAAGTTAAAAATAAATCCGTAAAAAGCTTCACCTTTGTGGAAAGGACAAGGCCAGTTGGCGGTGTGTGTGTGTGTTCAATTTCTGCTTCATTGCAAACAAGATTTGTGGTGCTTGATCAGAGGTACCCGAGGCCACAGGCAGGCAGGAGCTTCAGTTCAGCTGCGGGAATCTAAGTCAGTCATCCTGTGTGTGTGTGTGGGGGGGGGGGGACAGTGCTGAAGATGGCAGTGACACCCCAGGGAGCGCCAGGAAATCCACCAGACACTGGGTGCCGAAGGGGCCAGCCGTGTTTAGAAGTGTCCCCCTCTTCCAAAGGCGAGCACAGTGGGGCAGAGGACATGCTAAACCAGAATACTGGGTGTGAAGAAAAGCAAGGCATTGTTTTCAAAATTCACTGGTCTGGGTCTTAGGGCTCAATCTCTCCCACAGGGTGGATCTGTTTAACTCTTTGGTGACTTCAGCAGTGACCTTGCATGGATGGTGTGGGCTCTCTCTCCTAATTCCTGCTTGTAGCTTCTGAAGTCAGCTTTTCGGGAATTGGGAATTGGGAATTGGGTTAGTTGCACTTTCTAACCCACCCAGCTGACTTGGGAGGTGGTTCTCACCCTGGGGGAGGGGCAGGGTCATGCACTTTGGCGGGATCGTGCTCTCTGGCTTCTGCAGATGGAAATGTTCTGGTAGGGAGTGGAGCGTGCACCTCCAGAATGTGTAGTTGAATACCAACCCAGAAGGTGCCAGTGGGGTCATGCAGAGGAGCTGGGCGATCCCCGGGGGGGATGAGAATTGAGCCAGGGGAGCTACATGCTGGGCCCTTTATCACCCCCTGCAAGCCCGGAACGGCGCACCTGAGCACTGCACTCCTGTCCACACATGCGCTTCCCACGGCTCCGCCAGTGAAACAGAAGCCGGCGCGTTCAGTTCGCAGCCTCAGAGTCCATCCTCTTCTCAACAGGTGTTGGTCCTCAGCAAGGACAGGTAGGATGGTGCCAGGTGATGACCAGCCCTGCCACACCATTCCCCAAAGAAGGAACCAATCATCCCTTTGACATAGAGGCAGAATATTGTAGCAGTTTAGACCCTGGCTCTGCCCTTCCGCTGCACAGACTTGGCAGGAGGGTGTTTCTCCGGGCCTCCTACCTCCCAGCCCTGCTGAGAGGGTTAGATGAGCGCTCAGAGCTCAGTGACGGCAGCGAGACCATTACCCCTGTTCCGAGTCTTACATACACTTACATACCCATGTCTCCTATGGGTATTGACTTCATGTTGTTGAGTGGGAAGGGAAGGTCATAGAGGCTGAATGACTGGGGTTCAGTCTTTAGGAACTTCTAGTTCAAGCCCTTTGCATACACCAAAATGCCTCAGTCAAGATTAAGGTATGTATTCATGTGTGTGTGTGTGTGTATAATGTATACATACAGCAGTCCCCTCTTATCCATGGTTTCCCTTTCTGTGGTTTCAGTTACCAATGGTCAACCACAGTCCAAAAATATTAAATGGAAAATTCCAGAAATAAACAATTCATACCTTTTAAATTGTGTGTTCTTCTGAATAGTGTGATGAAATCTCACCCAGTCTGGTCTCGTACGCGAATCGTCCCTTTGTCCAGTGTCTCCACGCCGTATACACTGCCTGTCAGTCACTTAGCAACCGTCGTGGTGACCAGATGGGCCGTGGCAGTACCTCAGTGCTAGTGTTCCAGTCACCCCTGTTTTACTTAAATAATGCCACAGTCACATGACCTTGATTACACTACACTGTTCCAGTTGTTCTATTTTATTATTAGGTCTTGTTGCTAATCTCTTACTGTGCCTACTTTATAGATTTAACTTTATCATAGGCAGATATGCATAAGAACAATTTCGTGTATGCAGACAGGGCTCTGAACTATCTGTGGCTTCAGGCACCCCTGGGGGTCTTGGCACGCACCCCTGTAGACGCGGGAGGACTACTGTGCATGTATGGTCATGAGCAGCACGGTCCTTTGCCGGCAATCAAACAGTCTCCATTTTTAACTACGTAAGACATGGTTGGATGTTTATTAGGAGTGTCTCACCTTCGGAAGTCTGTACTTCTCTCTGAGATGAACTCTGAGGCACGCCCTTTCTGCCTTCTTTTGTGTAAATGCAGCGTCTCTTTCCATCCTAACAGGAAAGGAGAGAAGAACGGATCAAGGGACGTAGTGTGAAGGACATTCCAGCCCCTGCTCAGAGGAGCCAGACACTGGGCTAAAACACCCAGAACTGGGGGTGCTTTGGAGGCACATGGTATTTAGGGATGTACTATAAAGCTATTTCCCCCCCTTGTCCCCCCCCCCCCCCGGGGGTGTCCCCTTCCCGTTTGGAAGGAGGCATCCCTTTAAAGTGAGGCAGATTGCATAGTGCTCTGGGGCCCACCTAACTGGACCCGTGGTTCTGCTGGTTTGAAGTGAACCCGCTTGCTTATGACCCCAGCAGAAGCAGACACCTCCCGGGATGTCTGCAGAGGTCACAATGCCGCCTCCCCTCCTGCCCACGGAAGTGCAGGACTGAGGCTGAATTGACACACGTGTCCGCCCTCTGCTGGATTGGACTGGGCCAAGCTGAATAAATGAAACCTCTGGGAATTTGGGATTGGGGCTGAGGAAGAGTCCAGGGTGGCTGGAGCTGTGACAGGGGAACCTGGAGGCCTTTGGCTGTTCGCCACGGGCCCCACGGGCCTAGATGGAGGAGAGCTCACCGCTGAGATGAAAGAGCAGAGATGCCACACAGAGGCAGAAGCAGCGGCTAGGGACGGGACCAGAGAGCTCCTGGCTTCCAACGTCTCTGCGTCCTCGTTGAGGCGCAGGTGGGGGTTGACGGGATTTCTGCTCCTGGCTTTGGGAAAGCATTATTTGCAATAAAATAAACTCCCTGGTTTTGTTTTCAGGTGGCTAAACTGGTCTCTGTTCTTGAGTGGAAGTTTTGAAATCATCTTAACCATGATGTGGAAGGCTGCCTGAAGGAAGGGCTAGATCTGAAGAACTCTGATTAAACTGCTTACCACTGGGCCCTGGACTCCGGAACCCCTTGAACTCACTGCCCGCCACACAATGTCAGCCCTGGACCAGGCAGGAGGGAACACTGGGTTCAGTCTTCTAGTTTTGGAGAGGGAAACAGAGTAAGTGACTTACCCAAGACATCAGTGACCTGGCAGATAATTTTGTTCCTCCCATGAAAACTTTCAAGCATGCAGAAAAACTGAAGGAATTTTACAGTGAAACCCACATACTCACCATCTACAGTCTACATGAGCGTCTCACTAGACAGGTTTTATCCTATACCTATCCCCTCTAATCATTCATCCATCCATCTTATTTTACATGCATTTCAGAGTTGTAGAAATCAGTACTATTCCCCCAAACACTTCAACATGCATACTATTAATTAGTTAATTAGTTATGTATTTGTTTATAGTTTTATTTTCCAGCAATCACCTATCACCTGTCTATCTATCTATCTATCTATCTATCTATCTATCTACCTACCTACCTACCTTTGTCGTATTTATTCTGTTTCTGTGTGTAACCCAAACCACTACTGAGACATAACAACATTACTGTCACCTGAGTACGTTCCCTCATCCCCACTCCCAATCAGTGCCCACTCCCCAGCCCTACAGTCAACCACGGTTTTGCCTGCTCTAGAACTTCACCTAATGTAACCAAACTCTATGCATTCTTCTGTGTGAGGCTTCTTTCACTCAGCATGAAACATCTTTTGAGATTTATGCAGGCTTTTTACTTATTAGTAGTTTGTTCCATTTTATTACTAAATGTATTCTCCCATATGAATATATCAATTTGTTTCTTTATTCTGCTGTTGATGGATACCTGGGCTATTTCTGGTTTGGGGCTACTGCGAATGAAGCCGCTATGAACGTTTCTGTACAAGTCTTCTTGTGAACATGCATGTTCATTTCTCCTGGGTAATATCTGACATGGGATTGCTAAGTGACAGGGACATTTGGCTAAGTGTAGTTTCAGTAGAAACTGTCAGACCTTTTCCCAAGTGGTTATATTATCTTACATCTCATCGACCAGAAGAATTCTGTCCTATTCAGGCCAACAGTTGGCATTGTGTCTTTTTAATTTCAGCCATTCTGGTATGTGTGCAGTGGTTCCTCAGTATGGTTTTAATTTTCATTTCTATGATGACTAATGATATTAGGCCTTTCTTTTTTCATGTACTAATCGGCTATTTATATATCTTTGTGAAGTATTTGTTCAACTCATTTCCCCATTTTTTTTTTCTTTTATTTTTGAGTTGTAGAAATTCTTTATATAGCCTAGATCCCAGTCCTTCGTCAGCTATGTCTTACAAATATTTTCTGTTTGTGGTTTGCCTACTTATTTTCTTTCTTTCTTCTTTTTTTTTAATCCTCACCCGAGGACATTTTTCCATTTTTTGTTCAGATAGAGTGGGGAGGGAGGGAGAGAGAGAGAGAAACATCGACGTGAAAGGGACACATCAAGTGGCTGCCACCCGCATGACCCAACCGGGGCCGGGGAAAAACTGCAACTGAGGTACGTGCCCTTAGCGGGAACCGAATCTGGGTCTCTCTGGACCGCAGGCCGACGCTCTACCTCTGAGCCAAACCAGCTAGGGAGCCTACTTATTTTCTTAATGGTGTCATTTGATGCACAAAAGTTTTTAATTTTGACATCTAATTTATTGCTGAAAAATTTTATCGTTATTGCTCTCAGAGTCATGTTTAAGAAATCTTTGCCTACTTCCAAGTTGCAAAGATATTCTATGCTTTTTTCTAAGTGCTTTGCAATTTTAGCTGTTATGTTTCAGCCTGTGATGCAAATCAAAGTTCAAGTTACAAGTGTTACTGTACCAGTTGTTGTACTGTGACTAAGGTAGAGGGATCTTTTAATGTAATTAAGAGATATGGAGGGATAACATTGTTTTACTTAGACCTTTCCAAATAGTTTCTGTTTAGTAGTCCTCTTTCAGTATCAATGCTATCAGTAGTGAGAAACATCTGAACATAGACGTAAAGTATGTGTCTCTCTCACATTGATGTTTCTTTCTGTCTCTCTTCTTCCCTCCTGCTTTATCTGAAGATAAATGGAAAAATATCCTTGAGTGAGGATTAAAAAAAATAAAAATGAATGTGTAGTAGAGTGCATTGTTAAGCAGATTTTAGTTTACTGTTACTCAATCCCATAACTTTTCTAAAATAATGAGGACAGGTTTAGAAGGCTTCTGATTACTAGTATGCATATTAATGATTATATGCACTATGATGTCTATAGCTCTCTCTGCATATAACTTGTGATGAACCATTTTGATGCCCACTTCTTCACGTTGTGTTTTTGGTGATGAAGCCCTTGAAAACTCAAGCAATGGACTAGAAGTCATGCCTCTTGTCATGGGGAAGCAGGCTGGCCCTATTGTCTTTCTATTATTTCTCACATTAAATGACTATATACATTTATCACACACACACACACACACACACGAGTAATTGGCAAGTAACCTAATCCACTGACTGACCAAACCATTTGGGTGTTTTGCTCTTTGATCTGTCCAGATATAAAATTAAGGAAAACCAGGACATTAGTTAATCAAACAGAAGCCATATCTACAAACAAACTTATTGCTTAGACATATTAAATATTTTACAGGATCAAGTCTAAGGCTAAATTGCTGACCGTTTTCCTTTTATAAGCCCACTTGAGCTGAGAACATTTGATGCTATTGTTCTACTTCTATGTCTTCATTATACTTGTTTTTTAACAAGTATAATGCCATAGGCAAAACTAGCCAATATTCAAGAAATACTGCTTTATTTTTTGCCCAAGTAGTATCTTAGCACCGACATCATTTTTTACGGTTTTATTTCCTTTTTAAAGCTGACTTTCATGTACTGCAGAGTCAAGCATAATACCGTTGTAGGTAGTTTCTAAGCCATGTTTTCTTTCAGAAAAAATACTGTCAACAAGGTTAAAGGTAGTAGGCCTTTGTAGTTACTTTCCTCCAGGTCATTGACCTCTTCACTTATAATCATCTTAGCAATAGGACCAGGCAACTCTATGTAAATGATCGTTAGCAAAATAGCCATAGTGGCAAAAATATTTGTCTTTTGTATCATAAGATGAACATTTAATCTCAAGATCAGTATTTTGATTTTTAGTTGATTACTAAAAGACTCTTAAATTAATTCTACCTTGAACTTTAAAAAAATTACATATAGGTTGTACTTAAAGATCCGTCTTTAGCAGTGAAAAATTGTTGGTGCTGTTCACATTCCATAATGTCCAACTAAAAACATTATGAATATTTTATTTTTATTACATTTTATGTAGCCAGGAGAATGTCCTTATTTTTATGGAGGTAGATGGCTGAAATATTTAGGGGTAAAGTATGACGATGCCTATAATTTACTTTACAAATGGTTCTATTTATCTGCCCATCCATCCATCCATCCATCCATCCATCCATCCATCCATCCATATATCTTTCCAACTGATCTATCTATAAGCAAATATGTCAAAATATCATAAGTATATATAGGAATGCATTATAATGTTCTATTTTTCTGTCATCTCTATATCCATCATTTCTTTATCTTTAAATTTTTCATAATACACAGTCCACAAATTTATCCCTAGTCTTTGAGAAGCCAAGTCACATTATGCTTTCTAGGCTTTTCTTGGCACAAGAACAAGGCGGCGGCCCTGGATGTTCTTTAAGGCCCTCTTCCAGGTGCCAAGTCCGAATTCCTACAATCTGAAAGCGTTCTACTTGCTAGGACAGTGAATTTCAGGAAAATGGCAAAGATAGGCTCACGATTTTTCATCTGAAGAGTTACACTGAGGTTGATTAAAATGTGCCCAGATCGAAAAGTGTTGAGCTGCTTTAAAGGCGACCCAGAGATTCATTCACTTAGTGTTTTTCATTTCTGTTCATACAGTAGGGCACGGGAGGTGCGGATGCGACACAGCCGTTCCCTCCGGCAGAGCACTCCTGTAAGGTTGGAGGCACACGGAAAGCACCGAAAGGCAGAGAAAGCAATGGGGGAGGGATGGGGGGGGTGGGGGGGTGAAGGTAAGACCAAAAGGAACTCCGTTTTGCTTTTCAAGGGGAATGAAGTTGCTAATACTCACTTCTCCTCGATCATTTGCTTCTGATATTCCTCATATTCCTCTCTGGTCATCCCTTGAGCTGCGGCAGGATCCGAGGTCCCTGCTTCTTCTTTCTTTTCTTCAGACCCACCACCAAATCCTAAATTCTTTACCTGGTTACTTATCATAGTTTTCATAAAGAAAGCCATTTCTTTTTCCCCAGAAAAAGAAACCCAAAACTCAGACAAAATCTGAAGGAAAAAAAAAAGACAAAATCTCCTAATATCCTCAATGACGGCCACGTATTTAAGAGCAAAGGACTTTGTGGGGCCTCATCCTTCAAGGGCGTCCTGATGCAGAAGAGGGGTGTGCGGGCTGTAAGCTGGATTAGAGGCGGACTTCCTCGTACGCCCCGGCAGATGGTTCAGATTACTGAGCCCTCCGATCAGATGGAACCGACTGCTTCCTGAATTAATACACTAAGCTAATTGCAGAGGGAAAAAATCCTTCCCATCATCTACCCCTCTCTCCCCATCCATTTCTAAATTTTAAATGATAAGCACAGCAGGGCTTCATCCAGAATTCTGCTTTAAATTCACCGGGGCTGACATTGTAAGGCTGTAGTGGGATTTCCCAGTTCCAGCCCTTGAGCATAGTATCTGGTTGAAAACTGAGTCCAATGAGACCCAAAACCCAAATGCTTCATTGAGCAAAAATAATCCTTTGATCCATCACTATATTTCATTGGACTTCTAAGTGCAAAGCGAGGATTTGCCTTCGGTTTGCTTGGATTTTGTCCTGCTTAGGTGGTTACTATCTCCCAAACATAAACAAACACCCAAAGGAGGCAAGTCCAAAGGGACCACCACTGGGTCCCTCTGCTCTGAAATGTTACAATTCTGCTTGGAAGCGATGCTCTGGAGAGTGCTCCTGTCCAGAGGGTTAGGACGCACTGAGTCCCATCGTCAATGTGTAACGGGTCACCTTTTCCTCCTGCGTACAGCCCGCTTCCTGGGCGCTCTCAGCGCAGCGGTATGTGGAGAATACCTGTGAGTGTTCAGTCACACACCGACTTCCCAACGGTCGCGGTGGTTTCCCTCCGGTCAAGGGAGGAACTGCTATGGCTAAGACTTTAATCTACATTAGTACCTTTCTAATTAAAGCACCCCTAAGTGGAGGTGGGAGGAGATGTGGGCTATTTGTAACTTCCGCTTATTATTTTCATTAGACAGGACCCCTCCCAGGAAATACAGGACTATCCTTCAGATTGCTCAGAACTATGTAATCTGGATTTTTGCCTAAAATGCTTGTTTTATACATTTAAAGAGCCGCTTTCCCTTTTGCCAACCTCTTTTAAAACGCTGCTAAGATGGTCTCAGTTGGAAAGACTAACAGGCAAGTGGGGTGAACTAGAATCGTAGCTCAGTGCGGACGGAGGATGGACATGAACATTCACTCAGCTCCTCTCACTTCTAGGTGCTTGGAACTCAGCCCGGTCTAACCATTGCCTCTGAGTCACCGCTGACCATACACCCCATTTCATCATCAGTAAGGTTTCACAGAACTCATCCGATGATAAAAAGCCAGAGCCATTTCTCTGTTTCCCCAGTTCTGCCCGACTCTCCGTTAGGAAATGCTGCACAGGTGTCTCAGGACAGGAAAAAACTTCCCTTTCCCAAAGACGGGTAATTTGCTGAAGATCCATCCTATAGAATAGTTTTGGTGAGAACATGAAATCCCCAAAGCCAACTTGAATTTGGTAGGGCTGACAAAATTAAAAAAACCAAACAATAAAAATGGTCTTTATTATAATTCATTTGTATTTATTATAAAATCTACTACTGAAATTTCATTTTATTAGGAATTAGGAAATATTAATGGTGATGGTATCAACCCTAAACTCTAAAGCCAGTGTAAAGCAGCCTCTCCCTGTCCGGCCCTTTTCTGTGCATGTGCGTGTGTGCGCGTGTGTGCATGTGTATGTGTGCATGTGTGTCGGGGGGTCAGCATTAGAGACCCTTAGGTAGTAGCTCACCAGTGGGACGACTGAATACTCACTGGTATCGCTTTGTTTTATGAAGTCAAATCTCTGTCTCCCCAACAGAAAATTCCACTGAAAACGGGATGTCTTGAAAACTTTTTATTCCTCAATTTATTACAATGGCCTTTCTACTTGGACATCCAGCAACTAACTACATTTGCTGCTGTGTAGAATCATTCATCCCTCCAGAAGGAGAAAATCAATCCCCCAGGACCTGTGAAACAGGACCACTAGGTGTTACCCCTCCAAAAGCTTCTCATCCTACTTGAATAACACCCCAGATGTTCACTATGGCCTGCAAGGCCATGTCTCAGCGCCCCAAATAGTGTCTAGGGCCCTCATAGCACCTAGCCCAGCCCCACCCCCTGCCCCAGGCTCACTAATCAGGCTCACGTTCCCTTTTATTTCTTTCAAACCCACCTAATTTATTTAAATCTTTTATTTTATCCAGTATTTCTCAGAAGAGGGTTCCATTACCTTAGTCTACTCTTTTCTGAAACCACTTTAGAAGATTTTTTTACAGTGCTACCAACCGTGGGAAACAAGTTTATGAGGAAACTGAAGGTCATCTCTACTGAGTGGCAGAGCCAAAATTCAAACCGACTGTCTGACTCCAAAGCTCAACTCTTTACTTCCTTTTAAAAAAATTATTTTATTTTATTGATTTTAGAGAAAGAGGAAATGTGTGTGTGTGTGAGAGAGAGAGAGAGAGAGAGAGAGAGAGAGACATTGATGAGAGAACATCGACTGGCTGCCTCCTGCATGCCCCCCCCCCCCCCCATCGGGCCCACAACCTGGGCATGTGCCCTGACCATGAATGGAACTGGTGACCTCTTGGTGCATGGGTCAACACTCAACCACTGAGCCACACCGGATGGACTTTCCTTCTTATACCGCATGACTCTCAGAACTGGAATTACTTGGTTATATGGTGCTTGCTAAAAAGATTAGATTTTTTATTGCCATTAGTAATGACTAAAAGTTCCAGATTAACTCTACTTTTACCAGTATTTGGTTATTAAAAGTGGAAACATCAAATACATTGTCTTAATTGGTTTGTATTTTTCATTACCAGTTAAGGGTTAGCATTATCCATGACCATTTCTACTTCTCTCTTTATGTTCCCTCCCATGTGCAGCGGGCACAGGCGGTCCAGGGGGTACGCCGCCCAGGGCAGCTCCCGCAGGCGGTCCAGGGGGTACGCCGCCCAGGGCAGCTCCCGCAGGCTGTCCAGGGGGTACGCCGCCCAGGGCAGCTCCCGCAGGTTGTCCAGGGGGTACGCCGCCCAGGGCAGCTCCCACAGGTTGTCCAGGGGGTACGCCGCCCAGGGCAGCTCCTGCAGGCGGTCCAGGGGGTACGCCGCCCAGGGCAGCGCGCACAGGCGGTCCAGGGGGTACGCCGCCCAGGGCAGCGTGCACAGGCGGTCCAGGGGGTACGCCGCCCAGGGCAGCTCCCGCAGGCGGTCCAGGGGGTACGCTGCCCAGGGCAGCTCCCACAGGTGGTCCAGGGGGTACGCTGCCCAGGGCAGCTCCCACAGGTGGTCCAGGGGGTACGCCGCCCAGGGCAGCTCCCACAGGTGGTCCAGGGGGTACGCCGCCCAGGGCAGCACGCACAGGCGGTCCAGGGGGTACGCCGCCCAGGGCAGCTCCTGCTGGCGGTCCAGGGGGTACGCCGCCCAGGGAAGCTCCCACAGGCGGTCCAGGGGGTACGCCGCCCAGGGCAGCTCCTGAGGCGGTCCAGGGGTTACGCCGCCCAGGGCAGCACGCACAGGCGGTGCGGGCAGTACGCTGACCAGGGCAGCGCGCACAGGCGGTGCGGGCAGTACGCTGACCAGGGCAGCGCGAACAGGCGGTCCAGGGGGTACGCCGCCCAGGGCAGCTCCCGCAGGTGGTCCAGGGGGTACGCCGCCCAGGGCAGCTCCCGCAGGTGGTCCAGGGGGTACGCCGCCCAGGACAGAGTGCACAGCACACAGCGTGTCGGAAATGAAATACCATCACCAATCTGGGACTATTTGGAAAATAAAGTTACTTATCACCAGAAACCAATGAAGGAAAAAGTAAATTTACTAAAATATTTCTTTATTTGAATAAGGTCAATGTCATCTCTTGAATTCCAGCTAGCATCAAATAACAATCAGAAAAAAACACTTGACAAAATGTTATCCAATTGAAATGAACAGTGGATAGAAAACTCTTTAAAAGAAATATATTAAACAGGCAACATACAGATCTAAGAAGTTGCAAGTGGTGATTTCACATTAGATCGTATAAATAAAACATCCCCACGGAAACCCTTTGTTCATGACCTCCCTGCGACAGGCCCACGGGCAGGAAGAGGTATCACATCTTCATAGTCACAACTGGCATGATCTTTACACACACTGTCTGGCGATGCAGCGGATCTGGCAATCCCTTATTCAAGTAATGTTTGTTTCCCCAAGTTACCAAAAAGTGTTACAGGCAGACAGGAAGATGGGAGTTTTCATGGCTCGACCATGATCTGAAAATGACGCTTTAAGTTTAAAAGCCATCAACCAAAGTATGAGGAGCTACAGGCAAAAATCTCGGTTTAGTTTGTAGTTGCTACTAAACCACAAGTTTCAGTAAGAACATGAAGTAAACTGTTAAGTATACAAGAATCAGTGCACATCTGCTAGTATCACTGACGACAAAAGGGTCCTATTTGCTCTCAGTTCAGCCGCAAGCCAACAAAACAACCCTTATGCTTTCCCACTCCTCTTCTTAGTGGTTCTCAAACATCAGTGTGCTCAGAATCACCTGCAGCACCTGCTGAACCCGATTCTGAAGCCGATGCCTGAGTTTTGGTGCAGGTGGTTTGGAATGGAGCCCTGGGAGCTGTACATTAAGCACTCCGGACCCAGAAGGTCCATGGACCACACCGTGAGAAACACTGACATTCCTTTAATACATAGCAAAAACTATTTATTGTTTGTGGTTTCATAGGAAAGTTTCCAGCTGTATAAAACATCCAAACAACCAGGACACAAATAGGCACATTAAACAGGGTGTCAGCTGTTAGGTAATTGCATTTCTTGTAAAGTGGCATCATAAGTACGACTTACACTAAACTTTTAAAATCAATTTTTTAACTCAAGGCACCTGTAAAATACTTGCTGGTGTGAGAAGTTAACAAATTCAATTATACAAAATAGTATAGAAATGAAAGAATCCTGGCAGTGACTGATTTTTCCACAGAGCAAACATTTTTCTTCAGAAATGAGCTAAAGTCAATTGTTTTGAGGAAAAGAAAACAAATTTCAACGCTATGATAACCACCTGTGTGACCTGCTTTGCGGAGTCCCTTCTAGCAATGACCAAGTAGAAGTGACTCCTGCTCATGATCTTCCCCACCAGCTGTCTCCATTTCTATGGAAACGATCAGAACGACTCCTCTGGAGCTTCAGCCTGAAAATGTAACTGCATCGGTCTGGTATGTTCCGCTAATAAATTCAGGCACACGTGACCACGGATTTCTAATACTGAGTATTTGGAAGCCTTTTATCTCAAGAGGATTTCCAAGTTCATAGTCTACAACTTAAACACTCTTCTGAAGGTATTAATTTTTTTAATGAAATGAGAGTGACTTCTGTGATGATGTCTCTGAAACATGAATCGAAATGTCAGCACTGCAAGCACCAGCGAAGCACGTCTGTGCTGAAGTGCCGGAAGCTGAGCCGGGAACCGGAACCCCCCCATCAGTGTTCCAGGACAACGCTAGCATAGAGAGCACTGTTAGGACTGTTCGCACACGTAGCTCAAGTTAGACACTGCTATAATGTAGAGTTCTTCATAGTCTTTGTATAAATTTTAAGCAGCCAGCCCAATCTATAAATGACATCTTAGAATAAATTTATGAAGGCTTGGAAGAATGCATTTTACAGAACAATGTTATTTTGGAGTCTACGACAAACGAATGATAACCACTGTAGCTGAAACAGATAAAGAGTATTTTGAAGCCAGCAAAGGTAAGTCTACATCAGCTGTGAAAACAAAATCAAGTGCATTTAAAAATGACACTAACAGACTGAGGACTCTGTACAAAGACTATGGCAACCACTTGTAGTCTGACATGTCACTGTTGGGCTTACTAACAAGCGCTTCACAACAGCCTTAGTTCTGGCACTGAAAGAAGGGAATCAGAAGTATTAACTCTGATTTTTCAAATTTTGCTTTCAAGAGTCTTAACACGTCTCCTATCCAGCCTCCTTGATTTACACAAGTATGCAGAGTCACCAACACCAGTTGTATGGAATAATGTAAACCAGAACATAGTGGTGGGTTTTGTGAACCAAAATATCCTCTGAACATGCAATCTGAGCTGAATTTGCAAGCTGCACAAAAAAGGAGAATATGTTCCTTACATTACAAATACAAACGCAAAAAATATTCTCATGATATTGAACTGACACTGTTAAAATGAAGACATTTAAGCAAATGAGCAATCATGAAATGAACACATTACCAGGCAAAACACCCATAAAAACTATTATCAGAGGAATGTGTTCACCTAAATATTTTTTAGGCAAAGAGCAGCTCTTAATGTTCTCCAAAGATTTCCTTTAAAGGTGAAATATATCACTGATAATCAGAGGGAAAAATACTTCAATAAACATCATGAAGCCTATTACCCAGATCGTAATGCTCTCAGACAAAATATTCTTTGATTTCAGCAGGGGTATTAGATGACAGGATTGTGGGACTGGGTCTCAGAGTAGGAAATTCTGACCTCTTAAAAAAGACTGTTACAAAATAATCATGATGAGGAGCGCTCAGCTAGACCTCATATTTGGGGGGCAGGAGGGCAAGTGTGTTTATATTAAATAAAAAAAACCTCCAACATTCAAGACTTAGGGGTAACTTTCATATCTGGGGGTTGCCCCATTTTTTATTATTTACCCTCTTATTTATCAATATTCTGTTCAGTGGCTATATTCTGCTGGCCAGAAATTCACTGAAATTTAAATAGATTTTATGTACTATGCACAAATTTACATGTGGTTGTCTTTAAGGTCTATTCTTACTGAAAATCGATGTTTAAAGTTATTTTATACAAAATTTAATAATTTAGCCTATGAAGCAAGTTAAATACTTACAGTCCCTCAAAAAGACAACATTTTGTACACACATACAAGATGTACACATGAAAATGGTGGTCAAAAAAATTTTTTGGCAGCTGCTTCTTGTTGAGTCCTGAAGAAAAAGAGAAAGAAAAAAAAAATTCTATATACTTTACTTTGGAAAGAAATAGAATTGCTTAAAATTAAAAACACAATGTCTTTTGAAGTATGAAACACATTAAGATAAGCTATATGCACTTCCATGTGAACTGAAACGCACTAGAAATATTTGCTTTGTATAAACCTGATTTATAGGTATTAAAAGTTCTAGTATGAACATGGATAACTTTAATGAATATTTCAAATCAAACAAACAAAAATTTTGGGTCAAGTTTTAGAGACTTACCTATACATGATATAACCAATGAATAACACCGTTTGTACCACTACGAATATAATGAAGTGGACCGTAGATAAACATGATGGAAATGGTGGTAGCTCTGGGCATTTTGGTCTTTCGTTTGATGGCTAGAAGGCAAAGAACTCTATTACAATTTGTCAAGTTAGTATTTTAGAAAAAGAAATGTGAAATCTTCATAAAACTCATGGTTTACTGTGTAAACTCAAGTATTTTTTCATTTATTCATACTATAGCTTCCATCCCCTTAACTTTTATTACCAAACTTTCTGAAAGAGTAGCTGACACTGGACAGCCTCCACCTTCAGGTCCCATGCCCAACTCACTGCCATCTGGCTCCTATCTTCATCGCAGTGACAATAATGTTAGTGTCTCCGAAGGTCACAGACCACGAATCACCCGGGCACTCCCAGCTGACACTTGCTATACTGGAGTAACTATTAATAGCATCACCTCCAACAGGGTAACCATGTAACTGTCCAAACCAGAACCCTTGAGAGCTTTCAGCGCCGCTCAAAAGTGCCCTGGTTCAGACAACCACAGGGCGGTGCTCCCAATGAACTGCTGACACATCTAATCTTTATCACAGCTCTTGTAGTATTCGACATCACTACTTAATATTTTGAAAAATATTTCTTTCCCACCCTGGCTGGTAGCTGAGTTGGTTAGAGCACTGTCCCGATACACTTGGTCACCAGGTCAATCCCGATAGGGCACATACAAGAAGAAGCCAATGAATGCATAAATAAGTGAAATAGCAGATCGATGTTGTCACTCCCCATTCATGTCCTCTCTCTCCAAAATCAATTAAAAATTTTTTTAAAAAAAGAAAGAAAAATGCCCCTCCCCCCAACCTTTCCACAAGGACTCCTTCTATTTTAAGGAGATAATTAAATATCACGGACAAAGACTCCCTAAAGATATGCAGACAGAATGGCTTCTAACATTGTTTGTTTTTATTTTTATTTATTTATTTATTTTATCCTCACCCGAGGATATTTTTCCATTTTTTGTACAGATAGAGTGGGAGGGAGAGAGAGGAAGGGAGAGAGAGAAACATCAACGTGAAGGGACACATCGAGTGGCTGCCACCCGCATGACCAACCAGGGCCGGGGACAAACTGCAACCAAAGTACGTGCCCTTAGCGGGAACCGAACCCGGGTCTCTCCGGACCGCAGGCCGACGCTCTAACCGCTGAACCAAACTGGCCAGGGCTAAGATTGTTTGTTTTTAATATGCTTACATCTATGGACATGTTCTTCATTACATATATGTAATACCCACAGCATCAACTTGGTCATTTCAACAAAGGCTAAAGTGGGGGGAAATAACCTCAGACAGAATTGAGGAAATAGATAATGCTTAGGATGAGAGGTGGTGGTCAATAAGAAAACTATTAAGCCACATTGGAAAACTGAAAAAACTGTGAATTTAACAGTAATTAAGAAAAAACTTAAAAGTACCAGGGTATCTGTTCTAATATTCTCATATGTACATTAAATAAAAGAAAATGTTACCTATTTTTAATATTTATTACCACCTCCAAATGTAGATGGGGCTTACACTATAAAAAGTACCGAAAGGCCTGGCCAGAGGGGCCCAGCTGGTTGAGCATTGTCCTACGCACCGAAAAGTTGCCAGTTCGATCCCTGGTCAGGGTACGTATGGAAGGCAACGTCTGTCTCTCTCACTGATGTGTCTATCTGTCTGTCTGTCTCTCTTCCTCTAAGTATGCCCTCAAGTGAGGATTTTAAAAATCTAATAAAGTAAAACAAAAACAAACAAAAAGTTTAAAAATGAAACAAGACAGGAAGAGTAGCTGAAAGAGAAGACTCTTGCTCAGAGAACGTTGCCACCTGCTTTAGACGTCGCGTCCTTAGCGCCCAAGAGGGAATACGGGCCACACGCATGGCCTGTCTAACATGCATTCGTCAAGGGAGTGTTTACCTTCTCAAAGTGGTTAAAAGGTATCATGTGAACACAAGAACCATGCTTTTTTTTTTTTTAAAGAAAATAATCTAGGGGAAAAAGTATAGTTCCTTTGAATGGAATAGCAATTAATTTTTTTATTCTCACCCGAGGACACTTTTTGCATTTATCTCCAGATAGAGCAGAGGGGAGAAAGGGAGGAAGAGAGAGAAACTTCGATGTGAGAGAGACATATCGACTAGCTGCCGCCCACACAATCCCAACCAGGGCCAGGGACAAACTGCAATCGAGGTACGTGCCCTTAGCAGAACCGAACCCAGGACTCTGGTCCGCGGGCTGACGCTCTAACCGCTGAGCAAAACCGGCCAGGGCGATTTTTAAAAAATCTGTTCAATAAGCTATGGAAGCATGATGTAGAACTTACAGACATATGGGATAATTCTACCGGGATACACGGGTGAGAAAAAGTAGGTTAAAAATAATACAACAATTACTATAAGAGTACAAGAATAAGCTGTTTTTCGTACTCACAGTGGTAAATCCTCTGCCCACCCCTGGATTATAAAGAGCACTCCGCATTAACTGAAACACTGAAAGAGTTTCAGCAGAACAGCAGAGAGAATGCGTTCTCCCCCTAGAGCAGCTGGTCGTTGCGAGGCTACACAGAGGAGTGCTCACCGCGTTACGCTGCACGAGGCTCTCGATGTCCCGCTTTACAACGTGCAGGTGCTCCTTGATGTCATTGAAGTGCTGGGTGGTCTCATAGGCCCCACCTGCAGACCCAGGATGCTGGATACCACTGACCAGCCTGACGGTTTCACTCATGGAATTCCTGAAACAGAAAGTACCTTTAGACAATGAAATCACGAGAAAGATGACTTTTTTCCATCATAGATTTCAAATGATTAGATACACTTCTAAGCTCAATATATCAGATCATAAAAAACGACAACAGATAAAGAACATCAATATTTTAAAAAACTGAATTGTCTTCAACATTGGAAAATAATTAATAAAGCTATAACTTAACATTATGCCTTTATCTTTTACTAAAGGTCATCTAAGCACACAGAGAATAACACTAAATAACTTATGTTAAAACCAGTATTATAAATGGATATTATATAACATAATAGATGATAACCTTAATGAACTTAAATCTTTCTAGGTGTTTAACATTGTGCAGTAAACAATTAACCCTTCAGGCCTGGGCTGCCCAAACCCTGCATATTCAAAGGTTTTCAGGACTGGCCCTTGACCAGCCCCTGGGAGGTAACCTCTAAGCCCCCAGAGTATCCTGCGTGATAAGTGTTTTTGTCAACCTGGGGCCTTGGAACCACGCCCCCCCCTTCCCCCACAGTTTAATAGTTTATGCTAAAGATATGATTTATGGTTTTGTTTGCCTGGGGCCTTAGGCGCTGTATCAGTTTGACCTCCAGGGGGCCTGCAGGCTGAGCAGTTAAGGTCAGTCACATGGGTGCTCCATGCCTACGTGACTGGCACCTAATAACCAGGGCACTGAGGCTTGGGCGAGCTTCCGTGGCTGGCAGCACTGAACGCTGTCACACCTCGCTCCTCAGGAATGAGCACTGTGCACGGGACTCCACCGGGGACACCGAAAGCCTGGGCCTGGTTTCTCCAACTCCACCCTACTCACCTTTCTCCTTTGCTGATTTCACTCTATCCTTTTGTTGTAATAAAGCGTAACTGGGAGTATAGCAGCTTTTCTGAATTCTGTGTACTTCCAGCAAATCACAGAACCTAGGGATGGTCTTGGGACCCTAAGTCAGATGTAATTGTTTCCTCCTGCAGTTCTATCACACGGCCCCAAAATACAACTTACTGCCTCAACTAGAACCCAACTACAGAAGCATCTCTCTGTTTAAAATATAAAGGAAAAATTGGTTGCTTAGCATACTGAGCAATGGTATGGTAGTCTTCATGTATTGCCTTTTTGAAGGGTAATTTTAACTTTATACAACATTTCATCTTACACATACTGATATCAGAATATAATCTCCACGTAAAATGTGTCCACTACTCAGATGTAAGATCAAGATGACCACCGAGAACTTCGGCGGTGGGCTGGGTCATCGGCCTTGAGTAGAGGAGTGAATATCTTGAATAAGATAAGTGATGATCAAGAATAAATAAAGACTGCTAAGCAGCTTAAGTATTATATCACAGGGACAGGCTGAAGGTACAGAAGAAGGTAATTAAGAGCAACCCAGAAGAACATGTGAAAATGCCTAGCACAGCACCTAGAATGCAACAGGCACACATTAGGCAAAGGTGAACATGAAATGCTAAATGCCGTCTCCTCCCCAAAAAGCACATTTAATACCTTGAATTCAACATATAAAATATGTAACCAATTAAATGACACAAGCTACCACATACAAACGTCAAAGCTCAAGAAACAATTGTAACCCTGTCTATTGAAAAGGCCTAGGAGCAATGACAATTTGGTAGCAACAAGCATTCAACTGCCTATAAATACCATTTCCCGTTAAAAGACCAGGGTGCTAAAGAAAAATACCTTTTGCCATGCGTGGGACAGAAATGTACCTGAGAAACCTGGAAAGGAGTACACCGGAAAGGAAGGAAGCTACCGAAGACCACTGGGGTGGTGTGGACAGCACACTGAAGCGACTTGAGGGGTGCTAGTGGCCAAAGATGAGACCATTTGATCATCAATTATAAAGATGAGTGGCTCAAAACAGCAAAATACTTTAAAATCCATGAGTTGAAGAAAGAAAACAATCACCCCTCACTACTACATCATTTAACCTTGGAGACTGCCAGGGAACTGACTCATCATTCTGAAAACTGGTAAGGAGAGAGAATCAAGTATTTATTCCGCCTTTCCTGAACCAGCTCAGATAACAAGTGATGGGGGAAATTCTTCTTTTTAAATGGAGAGGAAATCTGAGAACGTGAGCATCACCTTCTTCACCCTCTGATAAAATGATGAATTCAGGTGATGGCCATCACCGGCTACTAAAACTTAGAGTGATTGATGAGACATAATTTTATCATGAACGGCTCAGGATGACATCAGGTTATTAGTAACTGTTAAAAGTGGGTGATGGGGATGTGAGGGAAGGCTCTTACTCTCAACTTTTTTTCTATGTTTGAAAATTTCTATAAGGCTTTATGATATGCTAGAAATAGCACTTAAAAGTGAAGAGATAATGAGAACTAATTCTGACTGTTTTCATATTGTGATCTTCTTTTTGGTTAATCCTCACCCAAGGATATTTTTCCATTGATTTATTGTAGAGTTGAAGGGAGGGAGGGAGGGAGGGAGAGAAGGGGGGGGGGGTAGATAGAGAGAGAGTGAGAGAGAGAGAGAGAGAGAGAGAGAGAAACACTGATGTTAGAGACACATTGATTGATTACCTCCCACACAGCCCCAGTTGGGGCTGCGGATCAAACCTGCAACCCAGGTATGAGCCCTCGAACAGGAATTGAACCTGAGACCTTTCAGTCCGAGGGCCAGTGCTCTAACTGCTGAGCCAAACTGCTGAGCCAAACAGCCAGAGCTCATATTGTGATCTTTTATCATTCAGGGCCCTTTTTTCTCTTTCTGTGTACTGAAGGGAATTAACTCCATGCTTCAGCTAAAAAAATAATTCTATGATTCTCTAAGAATATGAAAATCCATACAGACAAACCACCCAGACCATAAAAGGCAGGTATTTTCTATCTCTTTACATTTTTCTTCTGAAACTTAATCTTGAAGAAAAAGCTCTAGAGAACAAATTCAGAAATTTGAGTTCAGTTTTTACACTAACTTACTGTATACATGACATCTGGTCTCAGTAAGGGGGAATTTAGCAGAAGGACTGCTAACTACCCTGAGGACGTGCGTTCACGGATAACACAAATGGATGGCTAGGATGTACTAATCACTAATTGAATCTTAAGATGTTCCCAGCATACTGCTGATGAAGACGAGCAAAGCACAAAAGAGTATCGAGAGTGTGCTACTGTCCCCATAAGAAAGAAGAAAACACATATGTGCAGAAGTACAGGAAGAACAAACCAGAAATCCATGGGATGGGTTACCAACAGGGATAGGCGGGAAATAGGGCTGAAAAGAAGGAAAGAATGGGAAAGGGGTAGTAGTGATGAAGGGGGAGTGTAAGCAATGAAAGAAAATATATATTTTGGCTCTTAGAATCATAGCATACACATACCCTTCATATACCCAAAATATAAACAGTTAAAATCAATCAGATGTAGAAGAAATACAACCACAAACAAAAAAACCTAACTGTATTATACATAAATATGAACATACTGAAGAGAGTAGGGAAGAAGAGAAACCATCTGGAAAACAGTATCTGGACTAGATACCATAAGGCTAGAGGCAAGAGGAACTTTACTTAAATCTGTGATTCTCACAGGGATATGTGTTAACAATTTGAAATCACTTTATGTGCACACTAAAATTAAACTAATAAGTAAGTACATTATAGACACCAAGAATCAGATTTCTTCCTGTTATAGAAAGAATATTCAAATAGGGGAAGGAGAAAGGCAAAAATCAATCATGCATTATTCAGTCTAGTCCAATCCAGTCCACCTAGAATCCTAAGTATCCACATAATCCCATGCTGTTTTTTTAAAATACAAATGTCTACTGATGGATACAAAAACAGAGATATGTGTACACGTGGGGATAGTGCACATTCATCTATTCCCAAGTTCTGTCCACTGAGAGGGCCTAGAATCAACTAGAATCAATGGTAGCCCAGTAGTAATGAGCACACCTAGTGCCCAGATCTTGGTTTCTAAATACCCTCTCTCCAATAAAAGGAACCAGGGCTCACTGGAGAAGTAGTGGTTGATTGTAGAGCTGGAGAAGAGAAAACACAAGATGCGCCTGAAACACAGTGTGGTATCAGAAAAGTCAAGAGATGCATAAAAAGTGATGGGGGCTTGTTGAAAGAACACAGAAGCCAACCTCAAGAGGCTTCTAATGACCAAAGCTGGGACAATTGGATACAAATAACTGATTAAATAAATAAATGAGAGGAGAAGAAACAGCTGGTCCATACAGAATTCCAATAAGTAAATGTAGAAGAAATGCTGGAAATATAAAAATCAGCATTTGGGAAACACATTCTTGTTTCAGGCAAGACATCAAAGAATGCTAAAATCAGTGAGCAAAAGTTTAAAGTGAAACAGGATATCTAGTCTCAAAGTATCTTTCCTAAAACACTTATTAATTACCAAGGGAAAGATAGTAACTTTAAAGTGGAGAAACCAGGAAGAAATCATCATAAGCAAGTGATCACAGCCAACATCACCTGCAATAAGACAAAGACATCATGAACGTGATACACTGTTGTATTCTTGTGAAAAATGCAGAACCTCCACCAATCATGAGTAAATAACAGCAAACCCAAACTGAGGGACAGTAAACCAAATAACTGATCAACGCTCTTGGAATCTGTATGGACATGAAAGACAAAGATGAATTATTTCAGACTGCAGAAGTCTAAACAGAAACAACTACATGCTTTGTGAGATCTGGACTGGATCTTATAACAGAAAACTGGTGGAGTCTGAATAAGATGAGTAGTTAATAGTACTGTACCAATGTTAGTTTCTTGGTTCTGACAATTGTACTAGATTTACGTAAGATGTTAACATTAGAAGATGGGTGGGGGACATATGGAAGCTACTATTTTTGAAACTTTTGAAGTTTAAAATTAGAGCAAAATAAAGATTAAAAAATTACATGAACCAGTCTATTTCTAAAACTATTTAACTATTCATTTAACACCATAAACATTTTAATCACAAGTTTACAACTTGAAGATTTTTTAAAATGCCAAATAGTACAACTGAAAGAAATATAAATTTGCTGTTAAAGTTGGGTTGTCCTTAACGTCTAGGCATTTGACAGTTTTACCGTCTGTTTATCCTGATCCCGTTTAATTTTCCAATTCTAAAGAACTAGTTTGGACATTCCTGTTTGTCAAGGGTTGTACTGGTTGGGGCAGTGCTCTAAAGCATTAGCTTATGAAACATGACGTTTTGGTTGTTTCTCTGCTCCAGGTGTTGAAAGCTGTTAATTATCTGCATTAGTGGGTCCGTCTTAGAAACTTATCATTCAGTGTTCCAAGGACACAGTATCTCCTCTCTGCTCAAACTCTTTGTCCAGTCTCTCTTAGGGTGCAAGATGGAATGAAAAAGAGGTAGTTACACACAGCACATTTCCTTCAAAATGCTTTCATACCAGCCTAAGTTCTTGCATCAGGTATTTTTGTATTGCAGTCCTACAATGCTGTGCATGCTAACTGCCCTAGTATTTTTCAAAGAACTGTTATAAATTGCCCATATTCTTTTTTTTTTTTTGGTACACACCCCTAGTGAAAACTGAACCCAGGACTCTGTGGTCCGCAGGTCGACGCTCCAACTGCTAAGTCAAACCGGCCAGAGCATCCTCCCATATTCTTTTTATATTTTAGAAATGTATTGATAGTTCTCCCTGTCAAGTAACTGTGACAAACCTATTTTTTTTATTTTTTTAAAATCCTCACCCGAGGATATTTTTCTATTTATCTTCAGACAGAGTGGGAGAGAGGGAGAGAGAGAAACATTGATGTGAGAGGGACACATCGACTGGTTGCCTCCCACATGACCTGGACCAAGGCTGGGGACCAACTGCAACAGAGGTACGTGCCCTTGGCTGGAACTGAACTCAAGACTCATTGGTCTGCGGGCTGACACACTACCGCTGAGCCAAACCAGCCAGGGCCAAACCTATTTTTTTAAATAAAGCTATACCATTTTTTCTTTTCTAGCTTAAAAATAAAAAATTTAGACATATTTGTAGTTTCTAAATGTCAGAAGTTCCTATACCCCTATTTATAAAATGAATCTAGAACATGATTTTTACCCTCATTCAGGAATTTTAAACAATAATGTGTTTGAATAGCTAGAGGAGTCATAAATTTAGGATAAAAATAGCACATAACACTCAGACATTACTACTGTACACTTACTTCATTTCATTGACTTGTCTTAAAATCTCATGCTGAGTGTTCACAACAGTATTCAGTTCTTGTTGAGAGATCTGGAGGGAAAAGAAGAGAAGAGCAGTCAGCTCCACAATCCACACTCTACAGACCATACAGCACAGGAGCCCTTCTTTGCTACCTCTCCCCCATCAGGCCAACTAACTAGGGCACATCTGCACGTTTCGAAAGCTCACCTGTCCTTGCTGCCCTGGCATTCCTGCTGCTCTTTTAGAGATCTCTTCCGTCAAGGAGGAGACATATTTTCTCTGTTCATCAAGAATCATATCTAACTGGCGATTCAGCTGTTTGATTTCAAGATGAATACGATTCTGTCCTTCAAAGATTTGTCTCAGTTCACGATCCCCTACACTCTCAAATACTTCATCTGCTGAAATGGAAATTACAAATGAAAATTATTAGAACCACCTATGCATATATAGTTTTCAAAATACCTTAAGTGACCAAGGTACCTATATATACTAAACTTAGAACATCACCAACATAATGGTAGAATCTCCCCAATAGTGAACATGCAGATAATTAACTTATGATTAAATTACTACTTGTTTGTGTATGTCTGGTGGTTGAACGTTTATTATAAACACAGTTTGAATTTTTTCACCTAAAAATAATTTTCTTTTTCAAATATACTGTGTGATTCTATTTACATGAATGGGCAGAACTAATCCATGTTAACAGAAATCAGAATAGTGGATGCCTCTGTGGAGGGGGGCTGACTTGAAAGAGGCATGAGGGAACTTTCCTAGGTGATAAAAATGTTCTGCGTAGACCTGGATGATGGCTAAATGGGTATTCCATCTGTCACAATTCATCAAACTATACTCTTAAAATCTGTGCATTTTATTTGTATAAAAGATTAAGAAATGGAGTGAAGAGAGCTGATTTTCTTTTGTACCTGACCATGCTGAAAATCGGTAATTTCATTCAAACACTATAAGCTTCATTCATTCAAACACTATAAGCTTCACAATATACTCACAAATCACGTGATACTTAAATCCAAGAAAAGAGTAAAATTTATCTTTCATTTTTAGCGTATGTCTGAATCATACGGTTTATCACTTAGGAATCATGCACTACAAATAGTTCAGTTGTGCTGATGGGGAAAAACCCAGATAACAAAAGTTAGCAAATAAAATAAAGTCACCTTATTTGACCTTATGTTTTATTTTTGACATGTAGCACACTTAGGTTCTTAATTACAGTGGCTTAGACAAGTATTTTAAAACTTTCTACCTTCATAGTCCAGAATTCAAATTAAGTGGTAAGGGGAGAGCCAGATAATCATGTCACTACTCTCCCATAGTTTTGACAGTTTTCAAGTATTGTCTCTATATAAATAAGGTAACTGTGTGCCACTAAAAGGGAAGAAATCAACATGGACGATTTCATTCAATAAATATCTACCGAGTTTCCACTACTAGGGCAGCATGGCTGTTTTTTAGGTTTAGGAGACACAGCAGTAAACACAAGTCCCTGTCCTCACAGAGCTGGCACTGTGGTGGGCCACCGCTCGTCCACAGCACCACGGAGTCCTCAGCGCACACTTCACTCCATCACTTTGACTGGGGAAAACATCAGTCTCTAAGCCCTTTAAAGACTGAAGATTTATTTGCTCACAGATTGTTTCAGAAATGCCTTAGCATGTGCCAGATAAGAGGATGAGCCAAGTGAAAGTGCAGGGACACCACGGACCATCACCGATGCTGCAGGCCTAGGACAGCTTCGCCACAACTCACCAGGTTGCCCTTGAAGGTCAGGGTGGCCCTTCTGAAATTCCTCTTTCTTTTTATCCAATTCTTGTTGAAAGTGCTCAAATTCCTCCTGATATTTTTCTTTTTCTTTTTCTGAAATTTCTTTATCTGGTGTAGGCTTTTATGGAGTTTAAGAACAGATCATTAAAAAAAAATTTTTAAGAAAATAATATACCTCAATATATGCCCTTTTTCCCATTTTAATTACTCCACCATTAGTTGAAAGGTTACCATAAAAGTGTTCTTATTTAAATCCTAACCAACTTACTCTTGCTACTAACAATTCCAACAGAAGATACTAACTGCCGCTCCCACTTGCCAAGCGCTTGCCGAGTGCACTGTCTTGTTTAATGCTTACGGACGTCTTGCCACCGCCAATGCAAATACCTTTGTTTCCAGGGGAGAAATGCTAGGTAATCTGCACCAGGGCACATGATAGTAACTGACAGAAATAAGAGCCAACCCTAAGTCAGTCTCCCCAAGTTTTCAGCTATGTGGCAATATCACTAACCTGAAAATAAACTTTTTGAAAAACTGTTTATACTTACTGGCTCTTTCCCAGGCTCAGTCAACTGGAAAGTCAGAAAAGAAAGGACATCATGGTCATCTATAAATTAAAAGAAAAAATTTCCATAATAGGTTACTTTTATAGTTGTGAATCTATAGATATATATTTCTTTAAAAATATATAATCAGTAAGGAAAATAAAAATTAGCTCTAATTTGGTCAATGCAATGATGCTCTGTGAGCCTAGACAATAATTCACTGGAAAGATTTATATTAGAAATAAGTGAAATTCACTCTCTTAAATCCTAAATCAGAACATTTAGCAAGTTTTAAACTATAAAACAGATGCTTAATAAATGTATAATGAGGGAATGAACGAAGAAGGGTCAAATCAAGCCCAAATCCTAACCCTGGCACCAAGGACCACCCCCATATTCCCCCAGAAATCTTCATGACTGTCCCAGCCAAGTAAGACCAAACCCTGTCCTTCACGTATTTCCTGTACCTATCTGCCTCTACCTGCCTGTCTAACAGCACGTGCCACTGACTGCCTCGCTGTCTTGTTGTAGACATGACACTGCTCTGTCCTGGCCCACAGGGAGTGCCCTGGTTCATCCATGTTGCCCTGGCATCACTAAGGGCATCTCCTTTACTCTCAAAGCATCCTGATTTAGGTAATATGATTATCCATCAGCATTCATATTTGTCTCCCTCCTATAGCAGACATTAACAATTTTATTTTATCTAAAATCATATAAAAATAAAATTAATTTCAAGCTGTTTCAGCTGAAAACGGGGACTAGCAGATCAAACCTCATAACATCGAACTGAAATATGAATCCTGGCTCGTCACATCCACAAAGCAAGAGCAATTAATTCCAACTGTGTGGCAATGTCTACACTTTTGGCCACTATAACGGAGATATGGGTATGTAGCCAGATTAAAGAGAAAACTGGAATAGTACAGGGAAGGTTAGGTACTTTAGGAGCAGTCCTGCAATGTCATAGAGCCCCAGACGCAGGAACCAGAAATCCAAACCAAGTCCTGCCTGGGTCTGACCGTTACTGGCCATGTGATCTTTACAAAGTCCTTTAATCCAAGATTTTGCAAATGCATCTAAAATTAAATAAAAATCTATCCTCTCTCCCTCCCTGTGTTGTTGTAAGGAACAAATCATACATTTGAAAATAATAAAAATATTATATAATGTACCACATAAAGATGGTATTAATGTCAAATGATAAGTTCATTTATCACCACACATGGAAAAAAATGGTAGATATATCTTGCTTAATGTTTAGTCCTCAATAATATTTCCTCAGGATACCAAATTCACATAAATGTGTCTTGACACCTCTCAGGATCCTAAAACATTTAGCAATTAACCTTTATAGCCTCAACCTTAAATGGCTCCTTCACTATGAAAAGGCACTTGAACCAATGCTCTAACTTACATCAGTGTATGCAGCCCCAGCCATCTGTATCCCTGCAGAATTTAAGTAGAGAATTAGCAGTCCCAAGAGATACAAAAGACCAGCTCTGCAGGCTACAAGAAGCTTACAACTGGTCTTAAAGGCTAAAAATAAACAAGTCTACACATCTCCAAACTATACTATTCCCAAGAAAACTCAATTTACAAACTTCTAATGTTAAAATATGATAGCAAAATTTACCTGCAAGACCTCCAGTTGCTGCAGATATTCCAAAATGCCCTTGTTCAGGGATAACCATATTTTCCACTTTGGCGCAAAATTCATAATCATTTTTATCCGGTGTGAAGCCATTATTGATCATTACCTAGAAAGACATATGGTAGCTAGAGCTTTTACAACGGACACTGTAAAAGGAATTGCAAGTATTCATTTATTACTAACACTAGTTGGTGTTTATATTTGATCTAATAACCAATTGTCAGAAAGCTATCAGCTTTCTCTCATATTTTTTTTTTATCCTCACCCGAGGACATTTTTTTTGTTCAGGTAGAGTGGGAGGGAGAGAAAGGAACAGAGAGAGAGAAAGAAACATCGACGTGAAAGGATCACATCGAGTGGCTGCCACCCACACGACCGACCAGGGCCGGGGACAAACTGCAACCGAGGTACGTGCCCTTAGCGGGAACCGAACCCGGGTCTCTCTGGACCGCAGGCCGACGCTCTAACCGCTGAGCCAAACCGGCCAGGGCAGCTTTCTCTCATATTAATATTGATGACTACATGAACACTATTCTAAATTTTTTTTAATCCTCACCTGCGGATATTTTTACATTTATCTTCAGACATAGTGGGAGGGAGAGAGAGAGAGAGAGAGAGAGAGAGACAGAGAAATATCAAAGTGAGAGACATTGACTGGCTGCCACCCGCAGGACCCCAACCGGGGCAGGGAATGAACCGCAACCGAGGCACATGCCCTTGGTCAAAATCAAATCCCAGGACTCTTTGGTCCACGGGACGACGCTCGAACTGCTGAGCCAAACCGGCCAGGGCAAACAACATCCTAATTTAAATGCATCTTAATTTCTATCAAAGATTCACAATGAAAAGTTATACGAGAGTAGTGTTCATTTATGATCACTAAATGCACGGCACTTACTGTCAGTGTTTTCTGGTAATATATAATCTTTGCCCGGACAGGATAGGGTTTATTGCGAAAGTCCCTCTGGCAACTTGCTAAAGCTTGATTAGCACCATCACTATAATATGAGGGAAAGGAAAACAAATAAGAAACTTAAGCTTTTCAATATTTAAAAACTCACTATTTAAAATGATTCAAGTTTAGAAAATTAAAATAGTATCAAGTTAAGATAAAATCTCTGGATAACATGAGGATCCATTGTTAGCACGCGCTGGCGGCGAGGGTAAAGTTACACTGCTTCTACATGAGGCCGGGGCCCAACTCCTTCACCCGAGAGCAGAACCAGAATCACAGGAAGGCCTGGTACCTTTATTTTAAATAGCTCCCTAGGTAACTACCAGAGTAGAAAACTCACTAAGGTAGGAAAACAGTAAACTGGAATACGGATGAATAATTTTTCTTACAGTTCATTGGCTAGAAGGTAATCCCTCCCACAACAAACATGTAAAAATAAAAAATGTAGATACCTAATTCCTACATATTACAAATATACTAAATACTTGGAAGCTTTGTAGCCCATCGAAAATCTAAATATAGCAATTCTAAGGCGGAGGAAGGTGGCAGAAATTTCTGTCATTAGTTTAGTCAAGGCTCTGAACTTTATTTCTGAAAGATCCCTTTTAATAAAGGAGAAAAAACATAACTAGTGGCATCACTGAGCGCCAGAAACATTTCATTAACTTTTATAAATATTATACAGCTCTGGCTGAGTAGCTCAGCTGGCTTACAGTATGATCCTGATATGCCAAGGTTGCAGGTTTGATCCCCGGTCAGGGCACATATAAGGAGCAACCAATAATGCATAAATAAGTGGAATAACATATCAATGCCCCCCTTTCTCTTTCTAAAAATCAGTAAATGAAAAAAAAAAAGCATTATATAATTTTAGGTTAAATAAAGCAACACATTTTTATGTTTAAAATCTGAGGTGGTTCATGGAAACAGAACCAAATTAAAATAAGACCTTTCTACCCAGTTATAAAATAAATCTCAAGAAAAAGAATAATCTTATTTCATCTGGAAAATGTTCAGCTAAGAAACAATATATTTTATAAGATTTCCAAAAAGAAGCTGAAATCAGAAATAATGTAAAAAATACATACTTACTTTTGATGGTCATAATGGATTTGTCCATTGTTGCCTATAATTACTATAACAGGATTGTTTTTCTAAAAATAAAGAGAATATATTTGTTTTAAAGTCCTTAGACCAAAGAATTCTAGATCATTCTGGATGTGCTGTAAGGTTTCTTACAACCTCTAATATTCTACAACTAGAAATTTAAAAATAATAGAAAAGATTTCTAGTTAATTTAGAAAAAAATTTAGTAAACTTTTACAGTCATTCAAAAACAGTCACTTAACACCTCAATAAAGACTGATGATGTGTTCTCTCTTTGAATAATCAACCTCCACACATAGGTGAGGGCACACTGTGAATATGGGATACGTATGGGACTTGTGGAAGCTAAAGCAGGAGGACTAACATGGCCTCAGCATTCAAGAATTTATTAAAGTTCTCCTTTAAATTGCTAATAATGACCTCAGAGAAATAACCAGATAAAACAAAGATCATCAATCTTAAGGCTGCTCAAGCACAAGTTCATGTTCCAAATTCATGAGTACATGTTGTTCTTAACTGTTTTAAGAGAGACCATAATAGTGGCAGATCAAAAAGAGTGATTAATACATGAAAAGATATTAACATGTGAGCTAATAGTAGTAGCACATGGGTATTTTCATAAAAACAAACTATAATCGTTGACTCTAAACACTACCGATTTCACTGCCTACATCTGAATGACTCATGCTTATCCATCAAAATTACCGTGCACATACAGGGTTCTGGGGAGGGCACTGCAAAACTCTCAGAGTTTGAGCTCCATTGTGATCATAAGTTGAAGTATGACAAGTCAGGAACTCATAGTTTCAAATGTATAAATTCTCAGCTACATGAAGACTAATCATTACACTTGGTTTGGGGAGTTCTCTCCTATTAAACTGACAAAAGTGTTAAGTAAATTGTATTTCTCACAGCTTAACTAATAGCAAGTATATTAAAGGGGATAACAGCCCTGGCAGCAAATATACCTTTCCATCATTGTCAAAAGAATCGAAGAATATTCCAACACCATTCCACTTATCAGCTGATCCAAACACAGGACCCTCCAAGCCCTGATTTTCTGTATACCAAACTGCCTGTGAACATATAATAGGGAACATTTAGAGGCTGGCAGTATATGCATTTATATCCATTTTCTGAGTTAAAGAAATCATACCAGGCCATCAGCTCCAATGCGACCTCTTCCAGTCACTCGAAAAGTCACCTCAATTTCCCAGTTCTCAAAGGCTGCTTTTGTCTTTGTCCACACAGATCCTCTTTGGCTTTTTAAAGATGGTGCTATTCGAATTTGATCTGAACTTGGAATAGCATCTGGAACAAAAATCAGGGAATTAAAGCTTTAAGTTATAATTAAGTAAAACTCAATGAATCATCACCAAACTGTTACATACACTTATAGAAATCTAATTTTAATTTAGTAACCTGTACAGTAATTTTGTTAGAAAAACATTTCCTGTTGACAGTTTTAACTTTAAAATTTTGGGACTAACACCTCCCCCCCCTTATCTTTTGAATAGTGAACTATCTCTGAAAAAAAAAGAAGCAGCTATAATCATACACTAAAAATGCCAGGGGCAGGAGGGAGAAATTTTTGGCTTAAAAGGCAAACTAAATATTTGATTCGTATATTATTTTCAAATACCTATAAAAACTGTGATGTACTTTATTAGTTTACAAATATTAGAAAGCTCAAACAGTGTGAAAAGAACATACCACTAGGAATCAAGAGACTTATTCCTAGTCTCAGCTCAGCTGTGTGACTTTGAGCAAATAATTCTCTTACTCTCTTGGGCTCACCATATGTTCACCTGTAAAATGAAGGGGCTGGGCTCAATCACTTCCATAAAACCCCAAAAGTTATATGCAAAATTTTGTGCATATATATATTCTTCTAGGGAGAGGGTCAACTGGATTTCAAGTCAATAAGCAGTACTTCAGCATCAGCAGATTCTCAGAGAGAAGAGATCCCCCAAATGGTGGTTCATTTTCTAGCTAGGTTCAAGTCCCAGCTCCACCACTTACTAGCTGTTTATCATAGGCAAGTTACTCCATTTCTCCAACAACCTCAAGAGGCATGAAAATTCTTACATAAAAATCTCATTAAATGTTAGCTCTTCCTATTACTGGACTAAAATAATTATTAAAGCAACTATCAGGCCTAAATTTGAACAATCCTAGTACACTGTCTCAGATATTAACCAGTTCTGACATCAAGGCTGGGAAATAATTGTATTATCTCCTTACAGGTAGGAAAAACTGACAAAAAGTTGAGATCAGCCACTGTCTGTCACCATCACTTTCAAACATTTAAGGGACAGGGGCAGGCATCTTGGAAAGAGTACTAGATATAGAATCAGATCTATATTTGAGTTCTATTCTAACGACACTAGCTGGGGAATCTTTTCCAAGAACCTTAACCTTTCTGAATATCGGTTTTTGCATCTATAAAACAGATAACACTTGCCTTGCCTACTAAGGATTAAATCAGAATGAAGGTGAAAGAGCTCTGAGTTACACAGGGTTATAAATTGTTATCATTTTTTGCCCTTATGGACTCAAGGATGTGTACTGACAGTACAAAAGGACATTAGAGTTAAGAAAAAGAAACACCATAGATTTGGTACTAATTTGGGGATGAATGTAAAAGACCATGTTTAAACTAAATACACTTTTTCTTTTAAAAATTGTTTTAAATAATGAATCTCAGGGCAAAATGAAAAGGTAACAAATAATCAATGGTGTTAAGAAAACAGTGAGACTATAAAAATCACAGTGATAATGAAAGCAAAGGATACCCACAGCAGTGATTCCCGGAGTCAGCAGATAGAAGTGTCATGGCTAATATACTAATCCCTTTATTTCAAATTCAGTCTAGCCATGCAACTTTAATTCACCCAGATACATTATCTGACATTTCTGCAGCAGACCAACTTAGTTGGTTATAGGCTCTGTAAAGAAAGCCAAGGTAACTAATGTAAGTAGTTGATTAACATCACCTATTGGCTGATTATGTGGCATAAGCATGAGAAAGAGAGGGAAGAGCAAGCAAGCAGTGGAAAGATACAGAAGTGAAATGGGCAAAGGAATTCATCACCACTACTGAAAAATTCATCATCGTTCTAAAAAGATAAACAAAAAACTCCAAAACTTGAGTTTGGTACATTCACATCATCTTTGTATATTAAGAACATTACCTTGAGAACAAATGCCCAGGGATCTCCCCTTGATAGGTGGGCACGTAATTAGTGTCTGCTGAATAACAAAATAATTGCATTCTATTTAAAATACTTAATAACTTGGTCATTATGTCAAATTGAAATTTACACCTTATACAGTAATTTTAGTGAAATGGCCCTTCCTAGAAGTGTGCTTTCTATTCAATAATTACTTTGTAGAAATGGAACATTTTGTTCCAAATACTGGACAGTCTAAATTAATGTACACAAACCTTGTTTAAATGACTTCTTAATTACACATACAGCTGGAACTCAAATGGCCAGAGCCAGCATGCCAAGTGCTATGGCTGATTCCTTAGTCAGCAATGACACATCAGCACTAAAGTACAGATGTTTCTCTCACACATGGAAATGTCTAGCAAGGCAGCTCTTATCTACTAACAGTGCCAAACACAGAGTGAATAAAAAACAGGGAGCACAGGTTACTTAGAGTTTTCCAAAAAACTAAAAAAAAAAGCTGTAGATATAATGGTAGTCTCAAGTTCTGAAACAATATAAAAATATATCCCTTAGTCTACTAAATTAAAGGACATGTGTGACCATTAAGTTACATAATGTTTTAATACAAGAGGAAAGATCAAAGACCACACAAAGTCGCTGAGAGTGGCAACTTTAAGGTATTAGTCTAGCAAGGTAACAAGAATATCCTGACATAAAAACTTAAAAATTACTATAAAACCAACATATATCATCTCTGGAAACGTCAGTCGGGGGGCATCGGGTACAAACTGGCGCATTACCCATGGCTAACATCGGGTTAAAAAATAAAATAAAAAAGCAGGGGAGGGCCGAGCAGAAGCGGCGAGGAGGTAGGTAGGGGCCGCGCGAACAGGTCCCAGGCTGGACAGCGGGGGTGGGACGAGCGACGTTTCCCCTGGAGACGTGGCGTTGGGGTGAAACGTGATGCCCAGAAGCGACTTTGAGTGAGTACTTGGAAGTGTAAGTAACAAAACACTGAGAGCAAACGGAAAGAGCCGACGAGATCAAGGAGAGGACATGCGGAAAGGGGGTAGGTAGAATCGGGGGGACCCTGGGGAGCAGGTGGAGGGAACCTTGCGGACCAGAGCCGACCTGCAGGAGGGGCTGCCTAGAAGGGTCCCCTCCACCGCGCATGCCGTGTGCAGCGGGAAGGTGACGAGAAGGAGGCACCAGGCGAGGATGAGACCCGGGCCCCCCGCCCTCTGCCCCGGCTTACTCCCCGCGTGGGCCCAGAAAGGCACGGTCCCGTCGCTCTGCACCAGGTGCGGCCCCTTGAAGCTGTATTTGTATTCGAAACGGCGATGTGGCAGCGTGGCTGGGGTGTCCGCGGCACCGGCGAACGCAGGGTCGCCTCCCACGCCGTCACCCCCGACGAAGTGACTGAGCGACAGCAGCAGGGCGCAGAAAAGTGGCCGAGCTCTGGCCTGAGGACCCTTTCGCCTGGACCCCGCCATCTTGGATTCTGGAAAGCGGAGGCCCGCGGGAGGGGGAGGGGCGCGGGAGCTGCGGACGGCCAACAGGGCGCTTGCTGATTGGCGGAGCTCGAGGTACCCCGAGGGCAAGGGTGAGCCCCGCCCCCGGCCTCCGCTATCCAGGCGGCCGCAGGACCCGGGCACCTGTGGGCGGGGCCTTGCGGAAGGGAGCGGGGGCCTGAAGGCGGTGCTGTGCGCACGCCCCTCCCCTCCGATCCGGGGTCCGGAAAGGTTATCTCACACTCTTCCCAGTGGACAGCGAGTGTTGCTGGAGCTTTCTGAGTGCTTACCTGCAAGAAACCTTCTTCCGCAGCTGCTAGGAGCCCTGACACCTGTGGACCCACCCCATCAGTCCTCCATGGCGAAAATAAATCTTTCCACTGTTAGCTGAAGAATGGCATTCCTTCTGATGAGATTCCAATTGTTCAGTATCTGGTTTTCACTAGGGGTTCTTTGCAGAAACAAGTCCTTACAGGAACAAGGCAGAAGCTCAGCCGACTGAGCTACACCTACTTGTGTTAGGGCATTTCAAATTGGGAACCAGCGATCTACAGGGTTGATCCTCGGGTCTTTTGGTTGGTGTTGAATCAGGAGTTTCTGTGATTTTGTCACTCAGCTTTTACCTCTCTCAAAATTTAATTCCGAGGGCTAAGAAGGATGGCCCAGGAAGCCAGAGGAGACCGTACTTGAACAATTACCTTGAGACCCTCTGGCAGGCCAGGTCTGCTTATCTCCAGTCTTCTATTTTCTGAGATAAAATCCTCGCTCATTTAAGCCATCATTTCCAGGTTTTATTACCTTTACTCCTAATATTGAGTGCTACTACATATCAGGCACTGTTCTGGGCGAAAAACATACATTCAATCATTTAAGAGGAAATTAATCCAGGATTTTCAGTTAATATCAGGCTTTGCTCTAGGTGTTTCATTGACAAGAAACAGTTCTTTTTCTCAAGCCACATTTCTGCCCTCTCTAAAATAAACAAGTTTCCAGCAATTACAAATCAGTGGTGAAGCACAAAGGCTTTGGATTCAACTGACAGAGTGAATCGCGGTTTCCCAGCATGTGGTCTTGTATAAGGTGTTTAACCTCCCTGAAGCTTGGTTTCCACATCTAGATAAAGGAGATCAATAACAGTAACTGTGCCATTGCATTTTAGAAGGAATTCAGTGCCTGGTACCCAGTAAGCTCCCAGTAAACAGGAGCTATTCTAGTGACATTTCTTCGCTCTTTCACTGATAGCAAAGAGAAGCTTAATTAGCCCCATTAAGTCAGTCACATTGTGGTTTCGTTCATTACAACACAGAGTCCAACTCTTATTTTCTTCTTAAGATAAGAAAACATGGCCAGTGCAGTCATAGTTGGACAGTGAACACTGAAGTATTTATTGACTTTATATTAACACAAACTGCTTAACTTCTCCTAGGTAAATGGCAGATGTTTTATAGATAGCCTGAGGGCCATCCCACAGATCTGGACAGAGCAGAGCTAATATGATTAATTGGGTATGTTGTTTTTTGTTTTTATCCTCCCCTGAGGACAGCATTCATCTTGAGATAGAGAAGGGAGAGAGGGAGAAAGACAGAGAAAGAAACATCGATGTGAGAGAGACACATCGAGTGGTTGCTACCCACACAACCCCAACCGGGGCTGGGGACAAACTGCAACCGAGGTACGTGCCCTTAGCAGGAACCGAACTCAGGTCTCTCTAGTCTGCAGGCCGATGCTCTAACCGCTGAGCCAAACCGGCCGGGGCTAATTGGGTATGTTTTAATTGTATTGTATATGTTATGGTAGTTAGTGCTAAAGAATTTGTCAATTATAATTAAATTTTCCATTTAACTTTTCATGTTTACATTTTAGTAAATAAAAAATGTACAGAAGAATTGCTTTGGATGAAATTTAGGTTAGGAAAGAGAAGGGAGAATGATGCTCTGTTTGACAGTATATATTTATTTATTTATTTTTTATTATCATTTTTTTTTAGTCCTCACCCGAGGACATTTTTTGATATTTTGTTCAGATAGAGTAGGAGGGAGAGAGAGAGAGAGAAACATCGACGTGAAAGGGACACATCGAGTGGTTGCCACCCACACGACCCAACCAGGGCCGGGGACAAACTGCAACCGAGGTACATGCCTTTAGCGGGAACCGAACCCGGGTCTCTCCGGACCGTAGGCCGACGCTCTAACGGCTGAGCCAAACTGGCCAGGGCGACAGTATATATTGACATGTTGCCTGTGTATTAACATGTGTGGGTTAAGCTATCAAATAGTATTTGTCTTATGCAGTCAGTGTACGTGAAGATATTTTTCTTGGTCTTGCTGAGTTTAGATAGACTGACCCCATTTCAACCTTTCAACCTTTACTACATATAATATATATGTAATATATATTATATATATTACTTAGTAAATATAAAATTAGGGCTCACACTTGAAAGAGGGTATGTTGCTTATTATAAATCAAAGCTGTTTAACTTTTCTTTCTATATGAACAGGTTAGCAATAACATGCTCCTTTATTGGGATAAAACATCTTTCATTCCTTTGACAAATTCAAGGCACAATGAAGAGGGAAAAGGGGGCAGGCAGTAAAAATAGGCAGGAGAACAGAAAACAAAAGAAGAGAGAAAGAAATGTTTGGAGAGGGGAGAAAAATGTGCTTATCTGAACTATGATATCCTGCACCATTTTGACCTCAGAATAAATATTTGTAGATATTGATTTCCCAATGCAGAATGAGAACAGATTATCAAAGAGAAGTTAAGCAAAACATTTAAACTGGGAGTCAAAGCTAGATTTAAAGAAAGGGATAGGGAACAGTCATATGCCCCCACTAACATGAATAAAGAATTGAACAAGAGCTTTTAGGGGCTTTTAAAATCCATTCCCTGGAGACAGATCTTTTGCATACATTTGGGATGTTGGAACATATTCAGTACAGAAGCTCCAAGAAATCTCAGTGATCTGTGAGGCAATAATAAAAAGTTCTTGTCAGCTACTGGCTAATTCAGGAAGTAAAAGATTCTCCTATCTTAATTTTTTTCACAGTGTTCCAAGATGTAACATCCATGGCAAAATGACAATGGAAAGACAGCATTGTCGAGAATGAACCTCCAGCAATGCAAATCTCTCACCAGACAAATAAATGCTTCAAACAATTTAGGTCAAAAGTAGGGGTTTCCCCCTCCCCCCCAAAAAAACCCAGCAAGTATATGGTAAAACCAAACATTATTTCAAACTCAGTAACTTGGAACATGGGATATTTTTCTTAAATCAGAGTTGGGTTGAAATTTGCCATAATTTAAGGTTACTAAGCAAATTCATAGCAGCACATTAAATCTACTTCAAAAAGCAAACAATTTTAGAGACTAACTTATTAATTATTCAGGAAAATAATACATGCTGATAATTACAGATTAGTTGGCTTGGTTGTTAAAACAACATTGTGCTTCCACTTGTTATCATTGTTACAATAGTAACTGAAATAAAGAAAACTCCAGCCCTGGCCGGTTTGGTTCAGCGGTTAGAGCGTCGGCCTGCGGTCCCGAGAGACCCGGGTTCGGTTCCCGCTAAGGGCACGTACCTCGGTTGCAGTTTGTCCCTGGCCCTGGTTGGTCGTGCAGGTGGCAGCCACTCGATGTGTCCCTTCACGTCGATGTTTCTCTCTCTCTCTCCCTCTCTCTCCCTCCCACTCTATCTGAACAAAAAATGTCCTCGGGTGAGGATAAAACAAAAAAACAAACAAACAAAAAAAAGAAAACTCCATTAAAAATTCCTGACAGTGCTGACCAATGTATAAATTAATGTCTGATGAAAAACAATGCTGCTTTAACCTCTCCATGAAATCAAAGTGGTTTCCACCCAATTTGTTATACTGAGTGAAGTTGTACTATGAGTTTTAAAGTATGAGTATAAGTCATTTATTAAATCATCTATCTCGTCCCAAATTTCAAGGATACTTCAATATTAGTAAGTTTACTAATGTAATATGCCACATTAAGTGATGGTTAATGTCTCAATAGATGCAGAAAAGAATTCCATAAAATAATCCTTATTAATGGCAAGAAGTTTTAATAATTTAGGAATAAAAGAATTCCTTAAGCTTGTAAAATTGATCTATCGAAAACCTACAGCAGCCTGGCTGGTGTGGCTCAGTAGACTGAGTATCCTCCCATGCAGCAGGAGGTCACTGGTTTGATTCCTGGTCAGGGCACATGCTCGGGTTGTGGGCTTGATCCCCAGTAGAGGGCGTGCAGGAGGCAGCCGATCTTATCAATGTTTCTCTCTCTTCTTCCTTCTCTAAAAACCAATAAAAGCATCAAAACAAAACAAAACACCCTACTGCAAACACTACTCTTAATGGTAAAAATTTAAAAGCTATTTTTATAACAGAAATAATATAAAGATTCTTATTATTACCTATATTATTTACTATTGTATTGATGGTCTTAGCTAATATAATAGCCCAAGAAAATGAAGGAAAAAAAGAATTGGAATGAAAGGGACAAAAATGTCCTTCTTTGTACATTATGTTATTATATTATAGTCTTCACAGAAAATGCAAGAGAATTCAGAGACAAACTATCAATAGACATATGACAGTTAGCATCTTTACACCCAATACTAACAAATGAGAAAATATGAAAAAATGCCATTTGTAGTAAGGACAAAAACTGTAAGTTGCCAAATAATAAATTTAATTTTAAAATGTGCACAAACTTCATGAAAAACATTATTTAAAGATACAGTAGAAGACCCAAATAGAAATATATACTATGTTCATATTTGAGAAGACTTAAATGATAAAAATCTTAATTCTCTCTCCATTAGTTTATAATTAAAAGCAATTCTAACGAGAGAGGAAAATGAAATTTGACCAGCTGATCTTATAATTCATGTGGAAGAGCCACAGGCCCAAACCAGTCAAAACTATTTTGAAAAACATGACCAAGGAGGCAGGATATTTCCTGTTAGACAGATTGTTCTATC